ATGTTAGTCACTGTGTACACACTGTGCAGTGCTCCCTCAGGAAGATGCTGGGTCACCATGTATAGATTAAGGAGCAGATTATATATTATAGATTATAGATTATCCATGTATAGACTAAGGAGCAGAGCACCTTTCAGTCATGCTGTTCCTATTCAATTCAGAGAAACCTGCTGGTCTCTGATCTTTACCAATAAAGGGTTTAGAGGGCGAGGTTCTGGGAGAAATGACTGGGAAGCTGCGGTCCCAGTCTTGGGAGCTGAGTCATGGGATCTGCGCTGGGCTGGGGATCATAGCGGGTTCTGGTTCAGCGGCTGCTGTCCACCTGCCTCGCTTGTCCTCTGAGCTCAGGTCAGATGCTTTCACAGCACTGTGTGTTCATCCACTCTCTTCCGTTTAGGTTCTCCCATGGCACCAGCCAGCGTGAGCAACTGCAGCGTGGGCAACTGTAGCCCTGAGTCCGTGTGGCCCAAAACAGAGCCTCTGGAGATGGACGTGCCCCAGGCGCCCATCCAGCCCTTCCACAGCTCTCCCGAGCTGTGGATCAGTTCCCTCCCCAGTAAGTGAGCCTTGCTGGGCTTCACCTCCAATTCCTGTCTTTCCTCTTCCTACTGCCTCTGCTCTTTTCTTGAAGCAGGGGATCAAACTGGGGCTTCTTGCGTGCTAGGCAGACAGCACCGCACCCCAGCCCCAGAGCCTCTCTGCCTTATTCACTGTTTGGAGCAGCCACGTGTCTGCCCTGGTGCGCTCTGGATCCTCTTATGAGCTGTGAGTTGAGTTTCCGGGGAAGTAAAGAAATGCTGGTGCATCCTGCCTTGCCTGTGCAGCTGTTCTGATTGGTGAGAGCTGCAAGCTAAGTACTGTTGCTCTCACTTGGGGGTTTAGTGACACCCTCCAATCAAGCTCTTGATTTTGAGAGCCTTTAGGGACTCTCTGAATTAGCTACACATTGATCCTGATGCAGAATGAACTTTAATGGCCTGTCATCTTCTCACACTCTACATGAGGGGGCATGAGCCTACAGTCTTGTCCAAGAGGCTGAGCAGCTGTGACAAGGCCGATTGGAGCCCGGGACACTGGCCCAGTGAAAACGTGCCTCCCCGAGAGCCTCCTCTCATGGCGCCGTGGCAAAGGTTCGGGATGTAGTAACACGTGTGTCTCAGAAGGCTGGCTTGGCATTTCTTCTCATTACCCCAGCTGCTTTAAAAAGCGAGATGCAGGGCCTCGGGTGTAGCTCAGCCACTCGAATGCTTGCCTGTGACACAGGAACCCCTGGTTGTGATTCCCAGCACTAAATAAGACCAGGTAAGGTGGCACACACCTGTAACCCCGGCACCCAGGAACTGGAGGCAGAAGGATCAGGAGTTCAAGACCGTTCCTTATGACATGGGGAGTTCCAGCTTAGTTTGGGTTACATGAGACCCTGTCTCAGAAAAAAAAAAATGTGATGTGAACCAGACCCTGTGACCTACGCTCTGAAGACACTATTGGCGTGCTCATCGCCTATCCGTTTGATATAACACAGCCCATGCTGCACGGCACAGCAGCTACTAGCCACATGTGACTGGTAATTTAAATAACGGATAGCCAGTAGTCCTTGGTCACGTTAGTCACACGTGCAAGTGGTCACCCATACTGGAGGGACACAGTCTTGCCATTCCCCCTCAAACCTTGCCAGTGTGTCTTTGCTTTGGTGTGACCTGGACACTGGGGACCACCAGTGAGTGTAGGGAGGTAGACTCTAGCCCCGAGGTGTGGCAGCTGAGCTGAGAGTACAGCTGGGCCTTCAGCTCTGCTGCCAGCGGCCCACACAGTGGGTGTGGCCAGCCCGGAGAGTGCTGGTGTCTCCCTTTCCTGCGGGGAGGATGACTGTGGCAGCGGCCTTCCTGAAAGCTGGTTGGCGGTCTTGGTGGACTCAGGGGAGTCTTAGGGATGAACAGATGGAGCAGAGCAACAGGACTCACCTGTCTCTCACTTGTAGTGACCGACTTGGACATCAAGTTTCAGTACCGTGGGAAGGAGTACGGGCAAACCATGACGGTGAGCAACCCGCAGGGCTGCCGGCTCTTCTATGGGGACCTGGGCCCCATGCCTGACCAGGAGGAGCTCTTCGGTCCTGTCAGCCTGGAGCAGGTCAAGTTCCCAGGTCCAGAGCACATCACCAACGAGAAGCAGAAGCTGTTCACCAGTAAGCTGTTGGATGTCATGGACAGGGGGCTGATCCTGGAGGTCAGCGGACACGCCATTTACGCCGTCAGGCTGTGCCAGTGCAAAGTGTACTGGTCGGGGCCCTGTGCCCCTTCGCCTGCTGCTCCTAACCTGATTGAGAGGCAGAAGAAGGTCAAGCTGTTTTGTCTGGAGACATTCCTGAGCGGTGAGTGTGATTCTAGATGACTGCTCCTGAGAGGTGCCCCGGGATGCTTTTCTCCTTTCTCCTCCTCCTCTCCCTGCCCCTGCTCCCTTCCCACCTAAGCCTTCCTGACATAGCAGAGAGTCAAGGGGGAAGAGAATCTTGGTTCCAAGTGAGGACCAGGACTCACAAAGGGAGGTGAGCTCCACAGCTGTCGGCATGGAAGGTGTTTCGAGGTTGGTTATGGTCTTTCAGGCAGGGAAAACAGCCCTGTAATGCCACCCTCCCCAAATGTTAGGTTGCCTTTCACTTTGGAAGGTGACCTTGTTTGTCATAGTCCGCAAAACTCACAGTCTTCTTTCAGGAAGTATTCGAGTGGTTAAGCTAAGGAGGCAAGTGTTGAAAAGCATTGCGATGTACATTTACAATGTGGTTTCAATCCCAAGTCTATATCCTCACTATCCATTACAAGCCTCCGAAGTGACAAATTGCATTTTTGTGTTGCTCAGCTTGGTAACTGCTGGTCGTGGGTGTCTGTGAGCATGCCAGTGTGACTGGTATGACCAAGGAGTTACTGAATTTTAATTAATTGAAAGTCAATAGCCACATGTGGATTGTAGCTACGGTGTTGGGCTGCATGAAAGATGACATTACTGACAAGGCTAGAGAGCAGTCCAGAAATGCTTGTCCATCTTCCACAGAGCTCATTGCCCACCAGAAAGGACAGATAGAGAAGCAGCCACCCTTTGAGATCTACTTATGCTTTGGGGAAGAGTGGCCAGATGGGAAGCCCCTGGAGAGGAAGCTCATCTTGGTTCAGGTGAGGAGACAACATCATGACAGCAACTCTTGTTTCTGCTGGTGCTTAAGCCCCTGGGCTGGGTCCTGGGTGAGCATCCATTGGCTAGTGTGTATTTGAATGCCCTCAGTGAGACAGCAGACTTAAGCTTTGCACAGTGGGACTATGCTGGACAACACATTCTTAACATGGGTGAACAGTTTAATGGGCACTTTAGCTCTAATTCTCCAACCGATGTTAGGGTCTTGCTAAAGTTTTATAACACATAACATTTTGCAGCTCTTATACAAAGTTTTGGCTGTGTTTGTAAGCTGTAACTATGTTCTGGGAGTGGAAGCAAGTCCGCTTGGGGTTGTACATGGAGTTGTACATGGAGTTACACACCGAGACAGTCATGGATGTCATTGACCCACAGTTTGGATAAATAAGCAGCCATCTAGTTAGGAAGGATGCTGCATCCGGGTTCCTTTCCTTGAATCAACCAGCTTCTAAGGTGAACTCTGACTAGTGAAGATACAGCCTTTCACTAAGAAGGGCAGGGAGGCCATAGTGCTTCTCAGGGCCTCAATGGTTTTCAATCAATGTTGAGGCTTCTGCTACTTAAAAATGCCTGTGTTTCACATGCTTTTGCCTTAACAGGTCATTCCAGTGGTGGCTCGCATGATCTATGAGATGTTTTCTGGTGATTTCACCCGGTCCTTTGACAGTGGCAGCGTCCGCCTGCAAATCTCCACTCCAGACATCAAAGATAACATCGTTGCGCAGCTCAAGCAGCTGTACCGCATCCTCCAAACCCAGGAGAGCTGGCAGCCCATGCAGCCTGCCCCCAGCATGCAGCTGCCCCCTGCGCTGCCTGCCCAGTGATCCTGACGCCATGTCTTTTCTACTCTCTCTCTTTTTATATTGTACATATATTTTTTTATTCAGTTAACCAACCTTTAAATCTCCTTTCTTTAGCATCATCGGAAGTCTGCGACTTCCAAATATGCTTAGTTTTAAAAATTGCTCTAATTTATCGCTATATTGTCCCTCTTCGGGGTTCCTTTTAGGTCCTCCATGGGTGGTGTAGGAGATTTGATTTGGAAGTTTAGACACCAGGATTGTAGTTGCAGCTGTGCTTTCAAGGTGACTCTGGAGCAACTCATTAACTTAAGGGCAGCAGATGTATTACTTGTAAATAAATAAGGTTTAGAACGATGCCCAAAATTGCATTCTGCCCTTAAACTCTGACAATTATTTTCCTCTACTCGGATAAGACAAAACTGCCTGGAACAGGACCCTTCTTCATTGTTCTTAGACCACATTTTTCCCTCCTTGCTTTCATCAAAGTTCCTTAAGCGCTGATCTGTCCTGACTTGAGCTCTGTTTGACCTGTTCTGCTAGTACAGTCAGCTGGCTCCCTGCTGGGGGAAGTCAGAGGGAGAGGAGCTGGCTGGTTGCTTAGGAACCAGCCTTGATATCTAAATAGAAATGGTGCCAAGGTCTGAAAGTCACCCGACCTGTGGAGTAAAAGCGAGTATCAAAGGGGACGTTGGTGACACAGAAAGCCTAGGAATTGCATGAAAGAATGGTCACCTTGTCAACACCACCTCGTCTGTGGGTGGAGGAGCGCCTAAGTCCATGGTGGACTCAGGGCAGAAGTTCTCCTTACTCTCATTTTCTTCTCTGTAGAGGACAGAGGGAATTGGGCATCTAGAATATACTCTGGTGACAAAAGAGACAGTTCTTGTTTAGAGACTTCCAAGTCTTCCTAACAATTGGATTTTTCCAATTGCAGAAATGAGGTGTTCGTGTTAAAGGTCTAGACAGTACTGTTCTGGGAAAGGCTCAAACCTGCTTATGTCACTTGCTGTGAGCAATGGAGAAAAACAGTGAAGGACACTGCTGTTGTGTCTCATGAAGTGTCTGCCCTGGCCCCTCTCATAATTTGAATTCCAAGACTTAGATGAAAAACAAGATGTCTATCTCTGGTTACAGGCCCCAATCCTCTTCAACACCGATGTCTATTTGTTTTATGTCAGGAACTATGCCTGTGTGTGTAGTGTGCTGCCCTCAAATGAAGGGTATCAACTTCTCCTCTTCCAGCCACTGAAAGTTGGGATGGGTTTAGACTCTAAAAGCTCAACCTAACCCTGGGTGACAGGGAGTCTTGCTTAGGATGTTAATGCTTTGGTTTAAAGTTCCCAGATTATTAAAAGCAGGACCAAGAGAAATCTGGGTGAGTTAAGAAAGGCAGGCATCTCTGTGACTAAGAACAAAGTATAATTGTATACACATAGGCATAGGATGAAAATGTCAAGAGTATGCTTTGAATGCTAATTAAAAAATTTTTCTTAAAGAGAAGTTTAAGTGAAAGTGTAAAAGTTGGACTTTTGTAGAGCAGGAACCCTGCAAGGCATAAGGACGTTATTCTTTTGGAGGAACGTGGTGACATCATATTGTGAGGAAGTGCAGGGGTCTTGACGTGTGGCTGCTCCATGGCATGTGTGAGCTCAGTTAAAAATAACTCATTATAGGCAAAGTGGGAGGAATAGGGGCCGTGGAATAGGGGCCATTCCCTCTTCCTTCTGTGAAATGTCAACAGGCTCCTGGGGAACGAACTGGTGAAGAACACTGAAAACTCTGCTCTGAGGTGCTGTGAGCTGAATGTTTAGTATGTGACTGTAATCAACAGTTGACTGATAGGTCAGGATGGATGGTTTGTGTGGTCCTAACTAGACAGTCCAGTTTCTTGTCATGACTCTTTTACAGAGTGCTGAGAGAGTACATCACAGGCACGGATCTTCTCTGATTATCCTCAGTAAGCTTTCTGTTTTTGATAGATACCATGTATCCTCCATTTTCAGATCGAAAAAAGGAGGGGCTCCTGACTCTTGCACTCACTCCATAGTTGTCTTTGCCCTCATCTCAAGACTCAGAAAGGTGGATTTTCCCTGTTCCTCCTTTTCCTTACTGTGCACTCCAGATTAACTCAAACTTAAACAGAACCCACTACAGGTAAACTGGGAAGGCAAATCTGGTCTCCTTCCCACAATCCCCTGGTTATTCCAATAGTATCTTAAACTTTCAGAATAACTGACCTTTGTAAATTGCTCAGCATCTGTGTCCTGCTTGACTGCCAACTTGGAAAGTGAAAACTGTCTTAGATTTACTGCCAGGTCTTTAGCATTGTCTCGTAGGGCGTGTTCTAACATATATGTGCTGTAATGAATGAACTGAGTCTTCCGATTTGGAGATGTATTACTAACTAGCATGGGAATATAAAATAAATTTGAGGAGGAAAAATTTAAGGCTAGAGTACTGGTTGTATCAATTCTTAGTATCTGGTATCTGATTCCATCTGAGCTAAGAACCTAAGTTAGATTGACAGGCCCTACAAGCTGGTCTTCCTTACGTACTGTCTGTCTCCAACTCAAGTTGGTCCCTAAAAGGTCTGAAGGTACCAGGAAAGTAACACCAACTTAAAACCTCCAGTCTGGGTCTCTATTTCGCTGCCCATAAATTGGGACCATTTTTCCAGGCTAGAGTTTTCTTAAGATTTCCCTTCACAGAAGATAATAGGTTAAATCCTTATGCCAATACTTGTCCTTCCTATCTGTTTTGAGATTTTTCTCTGGGGAGAGGAGCAAGGCAACATCTACCTCAATTCTTAAGGTTCCAACGACAAATAGGGGTACAGTTCCACCAAAGTTTAATCTGGGGAACCAATGAGTCTATTAGGCTTACTCACAAAGCAATGGCTGAGGGGTTATGGGCAGGACTGTGGGTGGTTTTAAAGCAGCCAGTATGGATGTTAACTCTCCTATGGCTTCCTAGATGGCATTTCCTCCCTTCCTCCCAGTTTTCCCTAGCTTAGATACCTACTCAAGGCAGCATTCAATTAGGGCACAACTGCATACAATTAGGGCTGTGAGGATGAGAGTCCCAAGACCCTCCTTCTAGAAGGGAATGTCAACAGTTAGGCCTAGTTGCAATGATCTTTCACAAGACCACACAGTTCAACTCATGAAGATGGTGGCAGTTTGGCTCTAAGGATAGACCAATCACCACCTGATCCACTCGGTGGTCTCTGGATCTTCATGTCTCATTCGAATCCCCTAATGTGGTGGCATGGCTGCAGACTCTAACCTCAGCATTCCGGAGGCGGAGGCAGGACTTTGATAAGTTTGGGGGACACATAGCAAGACATTTTCTGAAAAAACAAACCACAAGCAAAACCCCACACAACACATTGGCTATAGAGATAACTTAGCGGTTAGGAGTATTTGTTTTTTCTTCCGAAGATTTGAATTCGGCTCCCAGAACCCATGTCAGGCCTTTGACTTCAGCTCGAAGCGATCCTACTCTTCTGGCTTCCTGGGCACCCACACATAGGGAAATATAAATAAAAATAATCTTTTAAAATAAAATGATCAGCGAAGTGGACTCTCGGGCCTTGAGCTCCAAGAAGAACGAGTTACTGTCTAGCACAATGCAGCACCTCTAGCGCCTAGGCAGACTGAGCGTCAATACTCAGGCTGCAGTGGAGTTTGTCTGGCACGCGTTAAGTCCAGAGCTCACCCCGCGCCCCCGGCCAATACGGCCTAAGCCAGCGAGGGAGAAGCCCTGTTCCTGGCCAGCCCCAGCTACACAAAACGCCGTCTCAAAGTGAGACAACACAGTAAGACGGGGGACAGTCAGCTGGCTCAGCCGTTAGTGGCACTCACTGACCGGTCGCTCGAACCCACTCACGTGGTGGAAGCGAGGACTGACACGGCGCTATAGCACGCGCCCACACAGTGAGCCGTGGTCTTGGCACGCAAACTGTCAAGTTCAAGGTTTAGGGACAGCGAACAGAAAGGTTTACAGCACTGCCAGCAGCAGAAGCGCCCCTGCTTCGCCGTGGGCCGGCCGGCGTTCGCTCCACCGGAAGGGGCGGGCCCAGGGTGGCGTGCTTCCTACCACGGCCTGGTCAGCGGTTCCGGCTTGCGTTCACGCTCTGCATGACGCCATGGGAGGACAGCGCGCATGCGCATCGGACTGTCTTCCAGGGCTGCTCCTCACAGCCCTAAGGTTTCACAGTCCTGTCTGGGGCACGGCGGAGCCCGCCCTTCCTGGCCGCTGGCCGGAAGCCGAGAGCCGGAAGCCGGAAGTCGGAAGGACTTCCTGCGCTCCCGAACCTGCAGCGGAAGTGCAAGTGTCTTGAGCCGAGCCCTGCCCTGTGTAACTAGTCTCTAGTAATCTCACGCGTGGGTACCTGTGGTGGAGGAAGCGTGTCTTCCCGGGAGGGAAGGCGGGCCCAGCACGAGTTAGAATGCTTCCGTGCCCCAGCTCTAGCCGCTTTCATTTAGCTGTCTGTCTCGGGGTGGGCCGGTGGTTACCCTGCGGTACAGCGTGTGCTGGTTGACTAGGCTGCCGTGAGAACGCTTCATAGTGGGAGAAAGGGGCGTGGGCTGTGGAAAGCTGCCGCTTGGAGCCCCGAGTTCTGTCCCAGAAGGGCTGTTTTGGGAGAAATAGTGGTAACTTTTGCCAAAGACTGTTCCAGACGCCGTAAGGTTTGAATCCTGGAGCACAGTTGCACCAGGTGCAGTTAGAATCGAAGCCAGAGACACTATTAAATGTGGCTGGAAGGCCAGAGGCAAGACTTCGGGAGATGTAAGTCTGCCAGAGAAACGGTGTGTAGCGTTGGTGACCCTGTCTTGACAGTGTTGATGATTCCCCTACCACCTTGTTTCTAGGATCTTTCTCAAGTGTTGGAGCTGACCTGTAGCTCAGATAAGGGAACCGCGGCCAGCTAAGGAGGCCATGATCCATGTAACTTCAGATTCATGTCAGCATCAAGCCCTCAGCCGCTGGTGGCAGCTGCCCAGCAGACCCTGGGCGTGGGAAAGAGAAGAGGCCCGCCTCGAGCTGTCTGCCTTCAGCTAGCAGGCGAGGTGCTGGCTGTGGCCCGCGGGCTGAAGCCGGCTGTGCTCTATGATTGCAACTCTGCGGGCGGGTTGGCGCTCCAAAGCTATCTGAGGGAACTGCAGGGCGTGGGCTTCCTGACGCCAGGGCTTCACGTTCTTGAGGTCGGAGAAAATTACCTCATTGTCAGTCCTGAGCGTGCCTGCCAGCACTTGGAGCAGGCACTGCTTGGTACCGTGGCTTTCGTGGACGTTTCCTGCTCCCAGCCTCATCCTTCCGTCTGCTCACTGCACCAGCTACCCGACTTGAAATCTCTTACAGCCGAGATCATGGCACATTTTCGAGGACTGCAGAAGAATGTGTCTCTGGGAGTCTCCTACAGCAAGCTGCAGTCAGCAAACTGGAACCTCTGCACTGTCTTTGGGATACTCCTGGGCTATCCTGTCTCTTACACGTTTCACCTGAACCATGGAGATGGCAACTGCTTAGCCATGACGCCCCTGCGGGTGTTCACTGCCCGGGTCTCGTGGCTGCCTGGCCAACTTCCAGTCCTTCTCTACTCCTTTAGTGTTCCAGAGCGTTTGTTCCCAGCCCTGAGGGACTTTGTGAGTGCCTGGGAGCAGGAACTCAGAACCCGGTTTAGGACTCAGAATGCCTTTGCGGACCTCAGCATCTCCTCTGAGGTAGTCACGCTGCCTGCTGTGGCCCTCTGATTTAACTCTGCCCATTGAGAAGGTATTAGGGAGAGGCTATCTCTGGGTGGAAGATGTCAATTGAGATTCTTGGGAATGGTGCAAGAATCCATTGACCATGTGCAATCCATTGACCACAGATGTGAATGGGGAATGTTGGCAGCAGTACCATGGTTTTCATTTCTATATTAGTTCCTAGGAACTGAGTGAAGGTGCCTGCTTGTGTGGGAGGAGGAGCCTTGTGGGAGGAGGAGCCTTGTGGGAGGAGGAGACATACACCGCGGGATGGCAGCCTGCACTGAGTAAACTGTGCCTTCGAAGGAAGGGGAATGTTTGCATGTTTATGTGACTCTAATGGAATTAGGGTATGAGACCATTGTTTTTAAGTGTCACAATTCTTTATTTCTCAAGAATACACAGTTCTAAAGAATAGTCTTGCGAGATAAAGTTTATTTACAGCAAGGTTTAAAAAACAACAACAACTAGGAACCCAGAGTCACTTGGTAGGAAACCCTAAGTTGTAAGGCACCAAAACCTTACAACGTTTTTCACGGAGTTTGCTTCTGAATGTCACTCCAGTAGACGCCGGAAGTTGTTCAGATCACCAGGCTGCCCTTGTTTGCCAGGAACACTGCCAGTGCTGTAGCAACCAGCAGCAGCAGCACTGGGAGCCACTGGCCACTCTGCCTCTGTGGAAGGAGGTGGAGACAGGAGAGAGCAGCCGTGAGCTGGAGGAAACGTGGGCAAGGATCGTCCCCCGGTAATTTAACCGGGCAGAAAACCTCACGCTGGTGGCGGGGAGCAGCCATGAGCTGGAGAAAATGTGGGCAAGGATCGTCCCCTGGTAATTTAACCCAGCAAAAAAACCTCCCACTGGTGGCAGATGGGCCTTTTTTGGCCTCAGTGTCTGCACATTTATTTTCACCTCCCTTGAGATAAACCACTTTACTAGTGGCCTAGAGACTCATATCCAATAGGAGACAGATACTTAAATGCTGACATGAGTAATCGAAGTGGCAAAATAATAATCTCTTTGAATGCCTCAGTATTTTTGCAATCTTCTTCCTGTCCTTGTTCACAATAAAAAGCCGCCTTTCATGCTTGAACCAGCGTGGGTTAAGTATCCTTTTTCTGAAATGCTTGGGATTAGGCATCTTTCAAAAAATTTTTGGTAATATACCAGTTGAGCAGACCTAGTAAAAAGACATCCTAATCCCAAATGCTCCAAAATCGTCTGAAGCACCATGCTTGTGTGTGCAGTGTTTTTGATCTAGAGCATGTCTGGTTTCCAGAGTCGGGGCCTTCTAGTGTTTTCCAGACTCCAGAGCGGCATAGAAATTGGGTGCATCAGAGACAGTGTTGTTTTCATGGTCGTTGTGTTGTTGGCACAGGGTAAAGTGGAGTGGACAGGGCAGCCAGGTGTTGCTGGGGCCTGATACATTTTTTTCTGTTTTTTGTTTCTGGTTTTCTGAGATATTTCAGTCTTTCTCCTATCACATTTCAGAAAAATGTTGAGTTATAAGCTTTGTTGTGCTGTACATAATTGCATTTTACACATGAAAATGCTAAAAATTTTTTACGTTATTGTTGATGGTGGTGGTGGTGGGGTGTGTGTGTGTGTGTGCATGCTAACATCACAGTGAATGTGTATGAGTAAGAAGACAATTCTTGGCGTCACTTTCTCCTCCCATGTGGGTCCCAGGGACTGAATTCAGGTCATCAGGCTTGGCAGTGTGCTTCTGTACCTACTGAGCCAGTTTCCTGGCCCCAATACATGTAAATGCTTTCATGTGACTCAGTGAAAGTGCTTCATGAATAGGCAAACTAAAAAATAAGTTCTTGCAGCACAAAAGGCTTTGCCGTAGAGGAGGACAAGCCTCTCTTCCTTGGGATTGCATTGCTTTTGCACACTTCGAAGGGGATGTGGGTTTGGAAGTATGTTCCTTGGAAAGGGTTCACTATTTAAGAGCTACATAAAGCATTATGATACTTAGTATGTGACAGAACCTAGGAAATGAATGTATACCAAATGCTGTGTTCTGGTTGGCTTCCTGATAGGCTACTGACAGAGCCTTGCGTAGGGGTTGTTATAAATTAGAAAGGAGGAAGATTGCAAGTCACTCCAAGAACAAAGAAATTTACAGAAGAAAATGAACGCCTGTGTTCATCCAGTCACAGTGTACGCTTGGATGTTCCTGCTTCCAGTTGCCTCCCAGAAGGTTTCCATGCCCCACCCCACCAATCTAGATGAACCCTCACAATCTAGATGAGTCCTCACAGTATAGGTGGGCCGTCACATCTGGATGAGCACTCACACCTATACAAGCACTCACATCTGGATGAGCACTCACATCTGTCCCAGCACTCACACCTGTACGAGCACTCACATCTGGATGAGTGCCACAATATGAGGTCACCTCCTCACCTTTTCCTTGGCCTGGAGCTGAGATGTCTCCTTTTGTAGCTGGTCTCTGAGTTCCCCATCCTTCTTTCCTGCATTCTCAGGCTTTGCTTCATCAAGGGAGACCTTTGGATTCCACACAGGTAAAGCCTGATCTAAAAAAGCATCCAGATTCTCAGTGACAGGGAGGCCCTTGACTGTGAGGGCTGGTCCTGTCGCTGACTAAGAACCCTTAGCATTTGTAGAGTAGTGAGATGGTTGGCGTCACTGATCTGAGCAGAACATTTTGCATTAAAGAGCTCTGGTGTGCTGGCACAGTGTGCACTTTAATCCCAGCAGCTGAGAGGCAGAGGCAGAGGCAGGTGGATCTCTGTGAGTTCCAGGACATCCAGAGCTACATAGACCCTGCATGGAAAACAAACAAGCAAACAGAAGAATTGTGGTGTACCCTGTGGCCTAGACATACAGCTGGAGTTTGGACTCCTTGAGGCAAGGCTGACATCTTATTTTTCTTTGATTTTGTTTGATTTTCCTTGATATTTTTTGTGAATGTTTACTAGTTGAAATGCTTTTCATTATTGTCATGTAGTATCTAGTTTCTCATGTAGGTTTGTGTAATGCTTTTGTGTAACTATGTGCCCTTTGTGCCCTCATTTCAAAGTCCTAAAAATGGAAGACATTCTAGACTTGCCTCTTAATGGTTTAAAGTTGGGTTTCTGCCACCTGTAGTTTTGGTTTTGATGAAAAGAGCCTTGGACCAGAGTCAAGTTAGGGTTACTGTTTTAGTTCAATCATTAATTTATATGATCAAAGACCATCATATTCTTCCCCGTGTTATGACTCCTTCCTACATTCTCCTGCATTGTACACAGTAGTTGTGAGAGGAAAACAGCAGCCTATGTGTTGTGGAAACTGAAGAGCCACTGGAGCCTCTGGCTGATGAGTCCTTAACAAACTCGGGCAGCAGATTGGCCCAGGCCCGCATGGGAGCACTGTGTGTGCTGTATGGTTTGGGCTAAGAAGCTGATTGTGATTTGTGAAGTCAACTGTGTAAAAACTGACATGAAATCCTGAGTTCAAAATCAATTTATTGAAATCTTCAACATAAACACATGTTTCTCAGAGAAAGTAGAAATTCTTTCCCACAGTTTATATACCTCCCAGAGTAGATGGCTGACTAAAGTGTCCAGGCCAGCGATCGTTTCTGAAAACATTCCCCTACCTCCCTGGCTTCACAGACTCAGAAGTGGGTGGGACCCAAAGAGTCGTGTAGTCCATTCCCCAGCCTCTAGGCAGACAGAGAAAGAGCAACGTTTAGTGGGAGTAAGTTTGCTGACCTTTCCTTAAGAGTTTCTCCTGTTCTCGAAGTTGTAAGGATTGACTCTGAAGCAGACCTGTTGGGAGAGAAAGGAAGTTGTGTGTGCTAGTAGACGTGCTATAGAGACTCACACTTCAGGCATCAGCTTGGGGTCTCAGGTGTTAAAGATGAGTTACCCTCCACTAGGGACCCAGAGTGTCCCTCAGAATTATGTTGAAGTTCTTACCCCTGTAATGTAACCTCCCTTGGAGACAGTCTTTAAAAAGGTAATTGAGTAAAAATAAGGTCATTAAGATGGGCCCTGGTCCAGGTAACTGATGTTCTTACAGAAAAGGGAACATTTAAACCCACATATCCTCCAGGGAGGGAGATGTGCAGACCTTAAAGAAGACGCCAGCTGCAAAGCCAAGAAGAGGCTCAGAGCAGCTGACCCGCAGAAGGTGCTAACCGTCTGGCAGCCTGATTTGGTCTGCAGCCCACAGAACTGAGGAACAGAGCCTTTTGTAGTCCAAACAACCTAATCTGGTACTTCCTTACGTATGTGCCATCCCATGTGAGCTTCTACCAGGCCTTTGGGTCTCTGCTTAACTTCCTTTAGGAGGACCGTGTTTCCAGATGAACATCGATAAAACAGTGACTCATTTTACCTTTAACCTGCTGCTTTTTTCTCTGTAGTAGTTATGGTGACTTGACATACATTGATTGCGCTCTCTCTCTCTCTCTAGTTTTCATGGTATTCCTATCCCTGGACTTGCTTAGAATAGAAGACTTTCTTTCTTTCTTTCTTTTTTCTTTCTTTCTTCTTTCTTCCTTTCTTTCTTTTCTTTCTTTCTTTCTTTCTTTCTTTGGACTTGCTTAGAATAGAAGACTTTCTTTCTTTTTTCTTTCTTCTTTCTTTCCTTCCTTCCTTCCTTCCTTTTTTTCTTTCTCTCTCCCTTCCTTCCTTCCTTCCTTCCTTCCTTCCTTCCTTCCTTCCTTCCTTCCT